GTCAGGAGCAGCTCCACCATTGGTTCATGAGGAGTCTCCCAGGAAAAGTCTCCTGAAGGGGAACCATGCAGCTTCTGAGGGGCCAAGTCAGTCTCCTTCACCCTCACCCTCCCTCCCTGTCATCTTGGCTATTTCTCTCTCTCTCTCTCTCTCTCTCTCTCTCTCTCTCTCACACACACACACACACACACACACACACACATGTAGGCCGCCCTGGGCTCTCTGTCTGGTGATCTCCTGTGGTTCCTGTCCATGTCCCTCATCTCGTCATCCTGTCTCTCTTTAATGGGTCCTATTAACGTTACATTGGAGTACAAATGTGGGGGGTGTAACTGTAGAGCTATAATAGTCACAAGAATATCAGTAATTTTGTCTCTCCTTTTTGTATTTTATAGTCTTCAAACTATACCCCCGGAAACGTAAGCATTTTTTTAAAAGAAATTATATTTATTCATGGAATGGGGGAGGATTTTATTATTTTATAATGGACTTTAATGTTAAATTAATAACATCTTTAAATGACATAGAAATAATAGATACATCTAGGTAAAGATAAATTGTGACACCTCTTGAAAGAGAAATGGAACATACAGGGTGCTCAAGAAACAGTCTTTGAGGGAATGAATATCTTACATTTTAAAATTCCTAATCCCCCATGTAGAAGTCATTTCCATCTTTGGAATCTGCAGATTGTCACATACCTTTTATGACCCATACATTTTCTTTTTTATCCATGGTGTAATCACATCATCTTAGCGATAAAACATGGTGTTTTTGGTGTCATTTATTTTTGTTACAGTTTGGAAAATGGTAATGCTAGTTATGATGAACCTCAACCACATGCTCTTGACAAGGCTATCATGACAAGGTAAAGAAAAGTCTGGAAGGCATGTGTGTCCTGTGGTTAACTTCTCTTTCACTGTGGATCTTCTGAGCTCTTTGCATGCTCTTGATGCCCTGTACTTCTCTCTGCATGATAATCAATGACTAACTCCAATCTTGACCTACATAGCATTTCATGATGCCATGAGTTTGAAATTTCAGTGACTTCTTAGAAATGGAAATGGCAAGCAACTAAATTTGGTGTCATCATAAAATGCTACATATAACTCCAAATCGTTATGGTTTAAATGCATGTGTACTTTAGCATTTCTCTAAACAAATTAAGTGCTTACTGTCTTCCAGATTTACCCTTCTGCCCTTCTCTCATCCATTCTTACTTCCTTCTAATAAATTAGGGTCAACCGGTAAAGGAACTCCAACCTCTCCTCCAAAATCCTTTCATGAATTCACATTTTCTGGGTGTAAGACACTTTCCATGAACCTTGATATTCACTAAGTAACTCTGACCTGCCAGGTGTCCTCTTCTGAGACTCCACTAAACTTGAGATGTGACAACCAGGGGGCCTGTATACATGGGGTGGGATAAACAAGGGACATCAGGGCAGCCCTGAGCTCTCCTACATAACTGTGTGGAGGTGATAAAGACCATAGTGTGGTCTTTATCACTTCCACACAGTTAGCCCCAAAACAGTGTTCTTTGTCCCTTCCAAGTGGTACATCAGGTGCAAAGGAATGATTCTACCATCAGTGTGCAGAGGGATCCACCTTCTGTTAGAAGCCTACACCCCATGTGGGACAATCCTTTTCAAAGGTCGCCATGTTCAGAGGAGCCCACAGCTTGGGCTCCCAGTAAGATTTTATATAGCTAAATATATAGGGTGAAAGGTTTACTGAATTTACAATATTGAATATCACAAAAATTTCAAACTTCAATTTAATTTGCCATTGAAGGGAAAAGAAATTGTATTTGTGTATTCAGGCAAAATACTATCAACAAGATCACTTACAAACAAGAGAAATTCCTTCCTCATGGTTCTGGAGGTGGCAAGTGCTAGACCAGGTGAAGTCAGGTTCACTGGCTTGTTCATAAACGGTGCCCCTCCCTGTGTCTCACCCAGTGAAGGAGTGAGCCAGCTCACTGGGTTTGCTTGTCCTAAATTCTTCCCCAAAGGCCTCCATCTCCTAGTGCCATCCACCTTGTGACTAGGACCTCGAATTATGAATATTAGAGGTCACAAGCATTCAGACCAAAGCAAAAGTGATGATGATGATGATGATGATGATGATGATGATGATGATAATATAATGGACAAATAAGGTTTCGAAATGTCAAATTCACTTCATCTCATCTGTTGCCTCTAGGATAAGGTGATGTGTGTTGGATTTGGTTGCTAGAGTGCTGTGTTTTGAGAGATGTGAAGATTGATTCAAGGGTTACTTAGCTCAGTGTCCTCCAGGCAGAGTAGACAAGGCTGTGGCCTGCCTCATACACATCTCCTGTTTCATAGGGTAGCATGCTAGGAGGGGATGGATGTTATACTTAATGGACTGAAATTTCAAGGTCAAAGGAGAGTGCTCAACTATCTCTCTTGCCCCAACATCAGTTCTTCTAGAACTCTCTGAATTTGTAGAATTGGTTTCTTGTCTTGCCTTCTATTTTCGAGGTCCCAAGTGTCCTCTCTGTACCAGGAAGTGTCATTGAATTCGCTTAGAGGAGTCCAGCAAGACAGGCAAGCCTGGAAGCTGGGAGAGAAATGTGCTGAGGGTCAGGTCTCCTGGTGGCAATGCTGAGGTGGAGTTCAGGATGTGAGGTGTTTGAAGAGAAGTCCAGGTGGACCTTCTGAAGCCTCAGTCCTCTGGGGCAAATAGGCCCTGCCAAGAGTTGCCTTCATTGGGCAAAATGGAGACTTTGTGCCCCCACCTCTCCAGCCACTTGGATCTGGGCTGCTCAGGAAAGGGACAACCCTTGGGCAGTGCAATTGGCAGCAGAGCACGCCCTGAGAACTCTGGCAGCAGGAGGCCCTCTGCTGACCATGCTCCCCACTGCTGATGGCAAGTCCTTTGGGAATCCGGAAGGTACAGCATTATGGCTTCCTGAGGAGTAGGAGGCTTTGGAGAGTTTGCTGCATCCAGGATTCCTTTTCGATTATAAGGGATGGTCAGGCTTGGCTTCATGTGCATGCCAGTAGCCTTAATGACTTGAGAGGCTGCGGCGGGAGGATCACAAATTCAGCCAGTCTCAGCAACTCAGCAAGGACCCAGGCAAATAGTGAGACCCGATCTCAAAATTAAATAAAAACCAAGAAAGACAGAAAG